GTACTCTGAGGCCAAACTCCAAAGATCCCTTGACCCTGGCTGTCAGACTGTCCCCAGGAAGAAAAAAATAGATTGGAGCCAGGACAGGGCAGATATCTGGGGCAGGGTAAGCCAATGCAGTGGCATTTCACACCTATCACAGGACTGCTGCTTGGCCATCCTGACCCTGCTCTCTGGTAAGCTGGGCACACAGACCCTAGTGCTGGGACTTTCTCTGAGGTGTCTTGGGTGAGCTGCCAGCTGTTGTCACCTCATGAGCACTCAAAAAGCACAGGGAGCTGGCAGCTGTCCAAGCCTAGAGCTGGCTAACACATTCCAGACTTGAAGGGTGGTCACCGGAACTAGGGTGTGTTATAGGGGCTGGTCAGGGCCAATGGAAGCTTCGAGATGAGTTCCCAAGCAGGCAGCACCTTGTGTATTTGCTTCTCTCTGCAGGAAAGCACCCAAGGAAGCGTTGCCTTGGGGTCCAGTTTCACCTAGGATGAGACCAGGAGGACCTCAGCACGAGCAGGGGCTCCAGAATGCTCGTGCCCACAGCTATCCAGCCAGGAGTGAGAAGCAGCCAGTCAGGAAGGACCAAAGATGGAATCTTCTGAGGACAACAGGAGCTCTCACTCTACAGGAGGGGATAGGAGAATCAGATGTAAGGAAACACTTTCTTCTAGCACTCAGGCCGGAAGCAGTGGAAGGAGGCTGCGACGGCTTGCTACAAGGGCTGTAGCCTGTTTAGAAGCAAGGCACTCTGGGCTGCTCCTTAGCTCCCACTCCCACTTTCAGAACTGTGTTATTGTTACCAGAAGAGGGGATGAGCAGGTGCTGGTGAGAGACAGAAGGCAAGGGGTGGGTGGAGCCAGGTTGAAGGAGCCTCGTGCGGATCTCAGTAGTGTGTGTTCTGATGAAGAGGCACAGTACCCAGCTGCTGTAGCTCTCGTTGACTCCATGTCCCAGGTGACCCAGGGACTTTCATCATTGTCCTTAGCTGCCCTTCATTCCAACTACCCATCCTTAAGTCTCCTGGTCCACAGAAGAAGGGAATAAGTGACTACAAGATCCTCATTTCCAATCCCATAAGCAACATTACCAGCAATGGAGACTGTGGCAGCTTCTTTTCTAGGCCTTGCAGTACCAAAATCACTCTCCACTACTCCAACCACCCCTATGACCACCACCACCATCACCATCACCACCATCACTGTCACCACCACCACCTTCACTACCACCAACACCATCAGCCAAAGTTTCCACTTCAGCTCTATCCACAAAACCACTGCCATCACGTTTGGCCCCATGACATGCTACCCTCCCTGTCTCTTAAGCTGGTCCTGATGATGGCAGATGGAGGGGGAAGAGGAGGTAGCCTTAGCTTCACTCATGCCCCGTTGCTCGGGAAGACAGCATTGCCACAAAAAGACTAAGAGAACCAAGAGAATCTTTCTGGAGGACCTGCCAACTTTGGGCTATAATAAAGAAGAGTGGCTTCTGAGAGGAGAATAACTGGGAGGCCTTACTGCTGACTTGGCTAAGTCACCCACTGGGTGGTGTCCAGGAGAGCTGGGCTCCAGGCACAGGATGCTCACTATTTGTGAAGCCCTGGCAGCATTGTTTGGGCAATATTCACTGGAGTTAAGGTCACAGGTCAACCTCAGGAGCACACTGCTGAACAGCAGTGTGAGAAGGACAGTGGAACTGCAGAAATCCAGGAGAGGCCCCTGTCCCGGCTCTTAGCATCTGGGATTCTGGCCCAGAGTCCTGTCCTCATGCAGCTCAGCACAGGAGACAGGCCCAGCAGCAACCTGGGGTTTTTGGTGAGTTAACAGGGCTTCCCTGGATTCCTGCTCTGAGATAGTAAGCAGACAGTGCTTTCTATGGTGGGTCACTGTGGGAAGAGGGCACGGAGCGCTAAGCAGCTGGGAGCACCTGGCTGAGGTGGTGCAAGGCTGTGGCCTCAGGTGTAGGACCTTGAGGAGGAAGAGGAAGCAGGCTCTGACTGCACGCACACTGAGCCCCCACACTAGAGGCTCCAGTTTTTTCTTTCTTTTCTTTTTTCTTTTTCTTTTCTTTTTTTTTTTTTTTTTTGGCAGAACTGGGGATTGAACTCAGGCCCTTGGGCTTGCCAGGCATGCGCTTATTCTACTGAGCTATCTTCCCAGCCCGAGGTTCCAGTTTTGAGCCATTTCCCTTGCATGCAGGGAGTGTGTGGCTTGGGCACTTCTTACTATTTTTTGTTTTTTTTCAGGGGTTGCCGAGGATGAGCAGGGATGGGGAAGATGAGGAACAGGCCAAGAGTGCCTTGGACAGCAGTAAACTGAGCAGAAGTCTACCTCCAGTCCCCAGCCCCCAATTCCCAGCCCAGTGCCCTGTGCCGCTCCACCACGAAGATGCTGGGGGCTTGGGGCTTCTCTTCTGGCTCCCAGGCCCTCCCATCTTTCTGCATAGTCCTTAATACTCACGGGAAGCCCTCAGGCAAATGGGCCTGGAGCACAGGGCCCCATGGCCGGGAAGTGTGTCGGGTATGTGCAGTTCCCACCTGCCTTCTCAGAGGAGCTGTGTTCAGGCACACATGCCTCTGCACACACGTATGCACTGATGTGCACACAGACTATGGCATGCTATGGTCTGGGCCAGACCTGGTGGCCGAAACTCACATTCTGGTGTTTTGGAGCATTCAGTCGGCAGCACAGGGACTGTGTGGATCCCAAAGCCCTGATTCCTGAGCTGTTAGCCCCCAGTGGGTTCTGTGTGACTTCCTCTGAGTTACTGGTCACATGCTGTCCTCTTGTTGTCCCCACTCACTGCCCACCCATCCCTGTCAGCAGGACACTCCTGACCAGCTATAACTACCTGTGCTCACTGAGTTGCCATACACAGCAAGCACTTTCTCAGCATCTCCACCTGCTGGTGAGGCCTCTTGAGGCTCATACTCAGTTACCCACAGTGACATCTGTAGGAAGAGCCCCAGTTGGAAAGGACAGGATGTAGGTCACCTGAGAGGCTGCATGTCAGGCTACATCCTCTTCTGCATGTTCATCAGTTTTTGCTTTGGATGACATGGCTGGGTGCTGGGGATTCCAAATAGCTCACCCTGTACCCTCTCCTCAGGACACTACCCACTAGCCTCTGCCTCCAGGGTCCAGCTCAAATTGGGGCATCAGGAGGGGCACAGTGGGTTCTCTCCACTGCACATTGCAGACCAGGTTCTGTGCAATGCCAGCAGCTTTCAGGATAGGGAGCACAGCCTGAAGACGGGGCCTCCCAGTCTTGCAGATTGCTTGAAGGGCTCAGGCTGCCCCCTGCTGGAGACTTGCAGAGAAGCAGGAGAAAGTTCCTTATTGCTGAGGTGGGCAGATGGGTGGTAGGCAGAAAAGGGGTTGCTTTCTGAGCCTGGGAATAATTCTGGGCACATTCCCATTTACCTCCCAAACTCAGTCCATGAGCAGACAGGAGGACCAGGCCCAGGGGATGTGATCCTCATGGGAACAGGCAAAAAGAATTAAGCCTCACATCCAGTCCGGTCCGGACAGCGTGAAGCAGGTTCTTTCTAGCCACTCACACACATGGAAGGTGGCAGGGAGGAAGTGGCCATCCTGAGGACCCAAGATCCTCACTTCATATTCTACTCTTTGTATCATTTCAGGCTGCTTTTCAATCCGTTTGCTAGCTCTGTTCTTGGAAAGAGTCAGGGAACATAGGAAGTCAGATGCACCTGCTGTGATAGGCCAAAGAACTCCTTTAAGGGAGGCTCATGTAAGTTCACTTAAACCATAGATAAATTCACTCCCTCACCCTCTCCCATGTAGCTAGCCAAAAACCCACTTAGAGAGAACCAGGGTCATAAAATAGGAACAAATAGTTAGAATAACTTGGGGGAGAGTACAAACATTAAACCACACTGCCCTGTGACAGGCAGATGGTCAACAGTGTATGGGAAATGTAAACCTTGTGGCAATTGTGTGGCATTCTTGTAAAATTCCTGAAAGTGGAGTAACAAGGTAATGTGGTTACTATGGAAACCTGAAAAGTATATAACCTGGAGGTAAAGTCCAAAGGCAGCTGACAATTTGGGAGTCCTGACCCGAAGTCAGGGCGTTGGTCAAGAGCTGGCAATAAAAGCTTCCTTGTTCCTGCACACTGGTCTCTTTCGTGGGGGCCTATCTTCACATGCTGTTACTTGCCACTACCGCTGCAGCCCTAGGAACCACATGGACCCCACCTGTGAAGAGGGGATGGCAGGCAAGGGGTACTAGCACTGGGATTCCCCAGCCCTAGATGGGCGCCAGGATACAGGGCACCAGGAAGTCTAAGGCCCAGGCCTCGGGCAGGGCAGGAGCTGCAGGGCCCATTGAAAACTCGAAGGCCATTCAGTCAAGCTCACCTAGCCAGGCTGCAAAGGAAGGCCACACACAGAGGAATGGGTTTTTAATTCTTTTTATTGAAGAAAAGAAAAGGAGAGAAAAAATAGATTCCCCACCCTGCTTCTTCCGGAGCGGGCTTAGACCCGGGCCATGGGTCAGGGCTGTGCTCTCCACCTGGTCGGGGAGGGGCCCGAGGCCCTGGAAGGGAGTGGGGTCTGGCTGCTTCCCAAGGGGTGGGGGAGTCTAAAAAACGGAGCCAGGCCGGTGGGCCACAGGCTGGTCCTCTGCAGCGGCAGATGCTTGGGTGGGCATCCTGGGGACGCTGGCTGACCCGGGCCCGCCGCTGTCCATAGCTGGTTGCCTCCCCGCCTGCCCGCCTGCGGGGCTCGCCCGAGGAGGGCAGAGTCTGAGGCACCTTCCAGCCTCTGGAGCCCTGTGCCCGCCGAGCTGTGCCACCTCCTGTCCTGCGTCTGGCTCTGGTCCCAGCACCGTGGGCCCTCCGCCTGCCTGGCCGCATCCGAGCGCCCTGAGGCCGGGGCGCGGGCCTGGCCCGCCACCACCGCGAGCGTGTCTGTGCCCGTCCTGCGGCCGGAGCCGGCAGAGCAGCATCCCTCCTCCTGGCCCACCACAGGGCCGCCGCCCGCCCGCTCAGACCTCAGTCTGGAGGTCGATGATGTCCTGGCCCACCAGCGGGATGGTGGCACCTGCCTTCTCCCACTCCACACTCCGAAGCTCCACTGGCGACGGGGGCAGGGGCTCCAGCTCCTTCTTCACCCAGGCAGGCGTGCCATGGGCCTTGCGAAGGCTCTCCCACGGCCGCTTGCTGGGCGTTTGCTGCTTTTCCGGCTGCTGAGATCAGCGGTCCAGGGATGGCAGGGGATGAGAGGAGCAAAGAGGACAGCAGGAAGAGAAGAGGGGCAGACCCCAATCAAGAGAAGGGGAAGAGCCCCTCCAGCAACCCTCACTCTAACAGGGCATATGCAGGCCCCAGGTCAGGTCAGGCCCACTGCCTGAAGGATAGCCACCATCTCCACCTGGCCCTGCTCCTCCAGAGCCCAGCATGCCTGCTGGGCTAGTGGAAGAATGAAGAGTGGTGTGGGGATGGGGAGCAGGCGAGGCACCCTGAGGGACCCGCCCATCCTGTCCCAGACCTTGCAGTCAGGGCCCATCGCCTCCTTGTCCTTCTCAGCTGCGTGCTGCAGCTTGCGGTTCAGGTCCTGGAACATGTCCTGGTGCCGCTTCCGTGTGTGCATGATTTTCTGCATGAGGCAGCACATCCTGAGCCAGGAGGGCACCGGCCCCTGGGCCCATGTGTGGGCCAGCTCCCAGAGAAGGGCTCTAGGGGCTGGGCCACACTCCCTCCCCTTCTCTGTCTGGTCACGGGGGATGAGAGTCTCTAGCGAGAGGGAACGCCAGCACCCACCTCAAAGTCCAGCTCTGCGTACCGAGACTTCCGCCTCTGTGGACAGAAGAGGTTTGTGCTCAGGGTTACAGGTTCCCAAAGCCTACCCAGGCCCTGAGTCCAGGGCACCCTCTGCCTGAGAGGAAGGGAGCCCCGGGCCTTCCCCACGACCTCAGTCTAGGCCAGCGCAGGGGTATGTACCTAGACTGTACACAGGTACCTGGTCTGGTTCAGGCTACCCTTTCCCTGGAGACACTGGCCTAGCTGTGGGGGACAAGGGGACCTAGGGACAGCGCCTTTTGTGGGGCAGGCAAGAGGCTTGGGAACCCTCCTCTCCCGGCACCCGGGGGCCTGAGACCAGCTCCTGTAGCAATTCCACCTGTGCACTGTGTCCAGGGTCAGCGCTGACACTCTCTGGCAGACAGAACTCAGAGCCACATGGCTAGGCAGCCCCCCCAATGAGCTCAGGATGTGAGCTGCACAGGTTGCACCCCCAGATCTGACAGCCAGGGCATACAGGATGGCTTTGGGAGGGGCAGGGGCACCCTATCAGTACTGTACATCCTGATTCTTTGTAGGGTGAGTCATCCTGGGCCAATTCAAGCTCCAGGCTGACCCAAGTCCCAGCACAAAACAGGCTGCATGGGGAACCCAAACTGGGGATCTGGGCCCCTCTGCAAGAACCGAGATCACACCTGTAGGCCTGGGTAGGGAATCGTGTGACGAGAGGCACTCTCCACCGGGCTCCCTGTCCAGGCTCCTGCTGAGGGCAGATGCTGCCAGGCAGAGAGCAAGTGGTAGCCTTGGTCTTGAGCCACAGCCACCCCTTCCCAGGGTGCAGGCAAGGACGAACCCCTACCCACTCAGATTTGTCTCTCCAAGGACAGACACCGGATACCTCTCCAGCAGGACTGACCCTGGTTGTCACATACCTGGGTCACCCTCATCTGCAGTGTGCCCAAATTGTCCCTGTACTGCTGGGCTGAGGGTATCTACATGCCCCCACCTTGGGGTCCCCAGGCCACCCTTACCTCTAGGGAACTCACGGACAAAGTGGCCACGTTCTCAGTCTTGGAGCCGGTGACCGTGCTGGGTCCTGCATGGGCCGCTGGCTCCGTTGTGTCCCCTAGGCTGGAGGGCGCTGGCTCCAGGGAGGGCAGTGGGGGCAAGGGCTGCTGGGGTGGTGGGGGTGGTGGGGGTGGGGGCGGCGGTGGCTGAGTGGGAGGCGCCTCGGGGGGCTCTCTGGTGGGTGGGCTGCGGGTAGGGAAGCTGGCATCGGGTGCCATGCTGAGATGGATGAGGCGGGTCTGGGGCATCTGGTCAATGTTGATGCTGTATTTGGGCTCCTCCTTAGGCTTGGGCCTCAGTGTGGCCGTGGCCGTGGGCAGGATCACATAGCTTGTGTCCAGAGCCTTCTCCTGGGCCCGGCTCAGCTCCGAGTCCAGCTTCTTGAAGATGTCCCCATCACCGATGAAAGAGGCTTTAGGAGCCTTGTCCTTCTTAAGGGTGAGAGAGTGGTTGGGGAAGGCAGGCAGGGGCCCCCCGGGGCAGTGCGGCGAGCCCTGCAGACGCAGCTTGGACACGTTGGCTGGCAGGCTGTTGAAGGTGGATGGTGGACCCTTGGCATGGGCCAGTTTCAGCTTCTCCTCCTCGGGCAGTGAAGGCCGCTTGAGTGTGCCTGTGATAGTGGCCGTGCGGCAGGCTGCAATGTCCTTGTTCAGCACTACAGTGACACAGAAGGGAGAGGCAGAAGGTCAGGGAGGTATAGGGCAGCCCCCAAAAGGGGAGGCCCAGCCTGGGTGCTATCCTGACCCTGGCCTGCAGTGACCCTGGGCCTGTCCCGCAAGCGTGGCTCACAGCAGCTGGGGCTCCTCTATCCTGCACATGGTAGGCACACAGGGCCCTGCTGTCAGTCCCCATGCGGACACACGATTGCTACCATGTAGACCTTTCCTGGAGCCTAGAAGGGCTGGTGAGGGCCCCCTGTTAAAGTTTAGGGCCAAGGGAAATCTCAACAGTGTTGGGGTTAGCGGAGAGGTCCACTGAACCCCTAGTACTCCCCAGCCCCACGCCTGGTCCAACAAGCTCTGAGCAAGTATGGAAAGGTGGGCTTGGTGGTGGGCTTGACCATGAGGGGTACACCCTCCTACACCTTGGCATACGTGGCTGCCTGCAAGCCTGTGGCTAACTCCAGCTCTCTGCCCAAAAAGCCACCTGGTCCCAGGTGGTGAGTTCTCTTGAACCCCCCAACCACTCCTTGGGTCAGCTGACCTCTGACTTCTGACCTAGTTCCACCTAGCCCCATTCCTGCCAATCAACCTGGCTTCCCTGGGCTATTGGAGAACCTGAACCTGCCTGTGTCCCTGCTGTCCAGGTACCACTCCTTCCACACCCCTCTAGTGGGTCCACTCTCCAGAGCCAGTCTTGATGCTATGCCCACTACGCTGGTCCACGTGTGAGCTCTAAAGCACGCCTGGCCCAGCCCCAGCCCCAGCCCCACTACTGTTCCCTCTACCCCCCCAAACCCCACTACTGTTCCCTCTACCCTCCCCCATAGCCTGCTGCCTACCCAGGCCGTATCTCTCCCAGTCCTCTGGGAGCATCTCAGGCCACCCATACGGGTCTCTTCTCCATTCTCTGGGCCATGAATCCTGTGCCTTTTTCCACCTTGGCCTTGGCCAACAGTGGAACAACCATCTTCCCTATCAACTCAGCACAACCTCTCCAGCAGGGTGTGTGTGTGTGTGTGTGTGTGTGTGTGTGTGTGTGTGTGTGTGTGTGTGTGTAAAAGCCATTTCAAAACACATGCTATAGCTCAGCCAGCCTAGGGCATCCTACAGTCCTACAGGTTCCTCATATCCTTCCCCATAGGCAGAGGCAGTGCCAGCCCTCTGCTTGTGCTCAGCTCCAGGTAGAAGGAAACCCTGCTTGTCTAAGGCACCTGCACCCCGGCCGCCATGTGTGCACACTCTGGAGGAACCTTGGCCCATAGGGCGGCCATGCTTTATGCACCTACCAGCCATGCATGACACAGAAGGCACAAACTGAAGACAAGCCAGTATGCCCAGAGGCCATTGCACAGCCACACAGGGCTGGGCCCAACCCCTAAACTCCCAGTCCTCAGGTCGCCTCTCAGAGAAATGGTGGAACTGGATCCCTGCAGACTGAGGATGGGGTGGTGGAAGAGCCTTTCTGTCTATCCAAGGTCACTTCCACCACAAAGCCCTGTCAGGATCCATCTGGCTGAAGCTGGCATTCCTCTTCTAGAACTATCCCAAATCCTCCGCCATGACTCCTTCTAGGGAAGGTGTTCTTGAATACCCGGCCCACCAGACACAGCATGACCAGCTGGCTCTGCCACAGCCAAGCACTGTCTGCTACTGCCTCATGCACTGGTCCACAAGCCACTACTGGAAAAGGAAAAGACCCTTATCCATTGACATTTGGCGTCATGAAGGACTTTCCTCTATAGGACAGCAATTCTCAGTTTTTTTGGGGGGTGGGCTGGCTCAGACTGCCTTAAGGGCAGGTCTGGTAATGCAGGTGGAGGTGGGAATTGAACCGTGGTATCCAGTGCCTAACCGCATTTGCATGAGCAGGTGCTTAAACAACTGAGCTAACCAGCAGCCCCAGTGATTCTCATTTTGTACTTGCTTTCAGGAAGCTCAGAACTAGGCTGGGGCTCCAGCGGCAGATCTTTTCCCTGATTCCTTCCTGCCTTTACTGATGTCCTCCCAGCCTGAAAGCTCAAGCTGCCTCTCCCCATGCTCAGACCAGTGATGAAGAGGTAAGCAACAGCACACGGGTGCCTAAGGAGGGGCAGGAAGGAGGGCTGGTGGTGTGGCGTGGTCTCATGCAGTTCTTTCCCAGGCTCTCTGCCCATGAAGATGGCGCAGCAAAGCACAGGAAAGGGGAGGTGCTGAGTGATGTGTGGCAGGAGAGGCCAGGTGCGGGCTCAGGGCACCTTCCTGGAGCTTCCTCCAGCTGTGCCTGAGAGCCTGCTGAAGCCAGGGGGTGATGGGGAGGGGTGTGATGGCAGATGGTACATGTGTGCGTGCGTACATGCACACACACACACACACACACACACACACACACACACACACTTGGAGGAAAGAAGGAAGCAGGTGGGCCAACCTGGCCACCTGTCGCTCTCACCTGTGGGGCGCTCACCTGATCTACAGGCCAGGTCCACGTCCTTCTCAAAGTCAGTCTGTAAGACAGAGACGAGGGTGGTGAGCACCTACCGTGGAGGGGCTGCTGTTTGCAGGTGATGGGAAGGGGTCACCAGAGCCAGAGCCACACCTCAAGGGCGTGTGTGTGTGTGTGTGTGTGTGTGTGTGTGTGTGTGTGCTGGCCCATGAGTGCTAAGGGGGCTCATGTACTGAACGCACCTGTGTCCTCCTGTTCTGTCACTAAGAACCCCACAGGGGTGGCTATGCCTTTACATGCTGTGTGCTTTCATGTGTGTATGTGAGCGCACGTGAGTTCACGTGTGATCACTTGTGTTTGTGTGTTCATCCAATCAGTGTGCATACCTTTGTGAGTGTGGAGAGTGTATCTGTGCGGGAGAAAAGGTGTCTGTATTTATGCACACATCAGCATGTCTGTCTGCAGAAATGTATGGGTTCATGAGCATTTGAGTGTATGTGCGTGTTGCACGTGGACTTTGTGCTTGTGTGGAGGCACATACGTGTTTTCTCCCACCACGTCATGACAAAGCAGCCGACCTCTGCCCCCTGGCCTCTGCTCTCTGCATCCCAGGCAGCCCTGGCCTCTGGCACTGCTGTGCATCACAGTCTCCAAAGCCACAGTGGACACCAGAGAAGGTTGTGGGCATGGACATTGGTGCCTGGCTGGCACAGCCATCCCTGAGCAGTGGCCTGGTCCCCATGGCAGTCCTCAGGGAGCACGGGCCCAGCCCAGGTCTCACCGGGGGAGCCAACCCTCAAGCTGAAGCCTCTAGGTTCCCTCCCTGAAAATGCAGGTGTGGGGCTGGGGGAAAGTGTTCCCAAGTGACAGAATACCTGTCAGGGCTCCTGATGCCAATTAAGTGGGAGGGGAGATGCTGGGGCCCTGGAGCCTGGGGGCTGAGGAGGAGCCAGGCTCTGTTCTGCCTGTGTGCCCCAGGTGCCTGAGCCAGCCTGCAAGGGGACCCAGGGGCAGCTCTCGCTCTGAGGTCTATCAAGGTCACTTTGGTCCCTGGCTTGGAATCCAAAGCTTCCAGGGCTCAGTGTGGAAGTGTGTGTGTGTGGGGAAGAATCTGAGTGTCCCTGGGGATCACTGAGCGGTTCTTAGGGAGCCTAGGCTGGAGGCCATGTATGAAGCTCTGGGGGAGCAAAAGGGACTGCAGGAGACCACCTGGTGTCAAGAGGTGTGTGTGGATGCCAGCCCAAACTTGTCATTCAGCCCTTTCCAGCTCAAAACCCTAGACCAGGGATTTTACTTTGATAAGCCTCAGTTTCCCCAACTGCAACTTAGGCTCAGACTTCCTCTAATGGAGCAGCTGGGCCCAGCAAAACTCCAGGAACAGGGTGGACCTGGAGCCCCCCAATCCTACCATGAGCTGGGCATGGCCGTTCTGGAAGGAGCCCCCTGAGTCCCCGTTGCCTTCCTCCTGGCGGTCCACCACACGGCACTTCACAGCATCCTGGACCTGAGGAAGAGGGGAGACGTCAGCAGGGAGCCAGGGGGCCCTGTTTACAGTTCTCCATAGGCACCTCCAGAACAGGCCCACCCCAGTGAGGACACCGTTGTGTGGGTAGAGAAGAGACAGTGAGGCTTTCTCTCCTCATCTCTGGTACTTTATGTCCTCTGGTTATGATAGAGACTTGAGTTCCAGGCCACTGATAAGTGCTATAAGCCACCAACCTGAAGCAGGGCATGGAAGCCCCAATGTCCTGACTCCTCCTCCAGCCTAATGCACTCTGTCAAATGGATTTCAACAGCTAAAGAGCCAGTATCAATGGTGACTGCCTGGGTGTGGGTGGGCTACAGTAACTGTAGCCTGCAAGGAGCAGAGCGCCAGCACACGGAAGAAATAGGAGTCGAGAGTGAAGTGGTCATCCACCCTGAGGTCTAGATCAGGGCAAAGCCTGGGGCTGCTGAAGGACCTGTTGCAACTGCTTTTCCCATCACCTTGGAACTGTGGGAGCTCCATGGACCAGCCCATTTTCTGAGTTTCCTGATGATCCCCGGGCTCCCACAGGTTAGGCTCAGCTGGCCATCCATCATCCTTTGATCCTTTTGGCTAGGTCCTGCCTGCTGCCCCACTGCAGATACTAGTAGACTGAAGAACCTGGCTACCACACAGTGCTCAGACAGCTGAGAGGGTGGCATCATTCTGGACAGCAGGGGGCAGCCTGGTGACTGTCTTCTTCCCATGGCTGCCTCTCTTCTCAGCTCACTGTTCCCCACAGGCTTCCCCATGAGCAGCTCCTTAGCTCTCCTCAATGGCAGGAGCTGCCCTTAGCCAAGCAGGTAGAGGCCTTGGGGCAGGAGCTGCAGGATGGACCAGCAGAGCAGGACTGCAGGAAAGGACACTTCATGCAGAAAAGTAACCCCAGGGGCAGCGCACTGTTCCCACCTGTCATAGTTTGTGTCTAGTTGTCCCCCCCAAGCCTCATGCAGTCATTGGGGCAGGCTCCTAGAATTTGTGATTCATTCATGATCCAATGCTGGGATTACGGGTGTGGGTCCTACACCCACCCTGGGGCAGATAATCTGCAGACAAATTAAGGAAAAGAAAGAGGCTTGCTAGCAGCCACAGCTGCTGCTCCTCCCTTCGCTCTTTGCTGTTTTTCCACAGCCATTAATGGCTGCCCTCTGCCTTGTGCCACTCTGCTTTGGATCCAGCTATGTATGGACTGAAACCTCCACAAACCGTGAGCTATAGAAACCTTTCTTTCTTTAATTTTGAGTGTCATTTTGTCCCAGCAACAAGAGAAAAGTGACCGAGACACCACCTGTTTTCAGGAGAGTCCCTGCCTCCAGGGCCCCTCTACCCACCCATCCTGGGCAGAGGCCCCAGGTTGGGGAGAAGGGTGGTCTGCTGTCCAGGACAGGAGTTGGTCCTTCTGAGGATGCCTCCCTGGCTCTCAGGTCCGCAACCAGGATAGTGGCAACTCAGCTCCCTACTGCTCCAGACTTTGGTCCGGTAGCTCAACTTTGCACTGCTGTTCCCTCCTACCCTACCCTACCTGTTTGGTTCTTTCTCTCCTGTGTGAGTGCTTTTCAAAAGCGCCCAGCTCCATTCTAGGAGTTCCCTCACCCCTCCAGCACATCCTAGGCTGGACTCCAAGCAGGGATCTCGATCCACTGAGACCCGGACAAGGCAGCCTTGTTCCTGTACAGCTGACTGCCGGGACCTTGTTTGATGGGGATCTAGCCTCGCTGCCTTCTAGAAAGGTCCAGAAAAGGCAGAAACACTTGTCACTGGCTCTGGCGTTCAGCAACCCCATCAAACACGGTGCGTCTGCTGTAGTCACCCGCTGTCCCTGGAGGGCTGGGGCCAGCAAGGTGGCGACCTGTGGGGACCCACCTCTCTGCGCAGGATGCAGTGAACCATCACGATGACGAAGCCCTCCAGTGAGTCGAACACAGCGAAGAGAATCTGGAAGAGGGCGGAGCGGCGGTCGGTGACGGCGAGCACGGCCGACATCCAGGTGAGCGCCAGGAGCGGCAGCACCACACAGGAGCTCCACAGGGAGGCCCTGGGGATGGAGGGCGTCAGCTGGGCCAGTGGCGTGGCCGCTCCCCTCACAGGTGCCTGCCTCCCTCCCACTCCCTTCTCGACACCCTCAGTCTGGTGCCGGGGCTGGAGCAGAGATCTGCCCGTCCAGCAACTCTAGGCTCGAGGGCTCTCAGGGGCCCAGCCAAGTGGAGCTTTTTTTGGAGGGATCCAGGTTCCTGACTGTCTACGAGGCAACAGGGGAGAGAAGGCAGGTTGGAAGGGCACAGAACAGGGATCAATCCGGGGGCTGGTGGGGCCAGGGGACACCTGGTTTCAGCTCCCATGGCCTTGCTTTGATGACCCAGCACCCAGGTGCTGAACTGTGTGCACTGTGGCCATGGAAAGGGGAGGAACTCAGCGGAGGGACAGAGAAACTGAGGGGACAGACAACAGACAAGGCCAGAGGGTCAGAGGATAGACCAAGACAGACAGGACAGAGACAAGACAGGCGCTTCCTCCTCTCCTCGGGCTGTGTACCCCACCCTCCAGGGCCTGACCCTTGGTCCTCCAGAGGCACCCACTTTGGCCTGTTCTCCCCACCACCTGCCATCCAGGCCACAGAGGGATGCCCACAGCACTCTGGAAAACTGCTTTGGCCTCATCCTGGCCCCGTGTGACTCCCAAGGCTGTGTGGCCTGGGGAACACCACCAGGACACCCAGGAGGCACTGCTAGACAACAGAGATGAGGGCCAGAGTCACGGTCACCACCAGGGGGCATATCTGGCACTGGGACAGACTGTTCCTCTCCTTAGTAGGTCACTCCCCTGCTCTCTGAAGAAACAGCAGGAGATGGGCAGCAGACCTGAACAGGGAAAGAGTCCTGTGCGAGCAGGAGCATCAGGGCTGAGGGGGAAAGGCTGGAAGGGTCCAGTGCAGCCAGGGATCAGCTCCCCATACCAGCAGGCCTCAGCAGGGGGCTCGATGATGACTCAGCTACATCCCAGTGTTGAGCACCAGCCTGGTCCAGGCCTGAGGGGACAGCTCCATTCTCATTTGTGGCCCTCAGAGACCACGAGGTCCAAACTCTTACCGCCTCCTCTCTAGGCCTTGCCCCATGCTGGGGCCTGGGCCTCCTTCAGCGACACTGGCCTCAGGGAGCTGCCAGCCCATGCTGCTGCCTTTATCATGAGAGACTGTGCCGGTGTCTCCTGGGCCTTTCAGCCAGCTTCCCAGTCCCCCACTCTTCGGCTCAAGCCAGAGCCTGGAGTGGCCCTGAAGACCACAAGACCTGGGATAGCAGGACTCTACAGCTGGACCCCATATGACTCTCCTTTTCCTGGACAACTGTGAGGGCCAGAGCACACCAGTTCCGCTCTGGGGATATGGCGGGTGCCCTCCCCAGGACCCAGGCCAGCTCCACTCTCCCCCTTACACCCCAGGCTGCAGCAGCCCACTCCATGTCCCCATGGCTGACAAAGGCTGAAGCTGGCTGGCCTTCACAAGGTGACCCATGGTCACTGAGCAAGACCCCTGCTGGCTCAGGGCCTCAGTTTCCCTACCATGACCATGGGTCTGGTAACTTCTCCCAAAGCACCTGTATCAGGTGCAGGGAGCAGAGCCTACCCCACCCATGAGGGTGTGTTAGCCCCAAGTCACTGTCCCTGTTTCCTTGCAGGGAGCTGGCTTCTAGCATCCAGCTGGCAGGTGGCTTGGGGCCATACAGGATTCCTGGGCCCTGTAGTTTTGGAAATACCTCTGTACAGTCCTGAAAAGGACCCAAGCAGAGGTACGAGGAGGTTTCCTCTGCAGGTTGGTGTCCCAGCCCTGGGGATCACTGCCTTTGACTTGCTGCCTAGTCTTGAGGGCCACTGGTGTGAAGCACCAAGCTTCCCCTGCCCCCCACAGGGAGAGGATCTGCCCCGCAAGACCACTAGCCCCAAAGACCTCGCATCACCAGAGGAGGGCACGTGGCCCTCAGGTTGGTGTGGGTCCAGCCCAGGGCAGCCCACTGCGCAGCTGTGCCTGTCCCTCTCCTGCCACCAAATCTGTACCTGCATGAACTCCCCCCATTCCATGGCCAGCACTCTCTCCCCATTACTCGATCTCACTAATATCAAAGGCTCCTAAAGTCCTGGGCTCCAGGGCCCAGCCTGGGCACAGACATAAAGGGTCTGAGGAACCAGCGTCAACATGACCCGAGAGAGGCAGGGCCAAGCTGCCCTCTTGGAGCTGGGAAGTCAAGCTCTAGGCCACTGAGTCATGCTCATCCAAGCCCCAAATGTCCTGGCCTGCAAAGCTCCAGAAGATGCCAGGTCACTAACCCCAAATTAGCCATCCCTGGCCCCCCCACTGGGCTCCTTCCTGTTACCTCATACACGAGTGTTCAAAGAGACACACAACAACACACCTGTGGAAACACACGCCCATACAGCCATACACACACTCCTAGACATTCAAATATACACATGCTCCCCAGCAGCTGAGCATGTGGTCACTCTCCCACACATGCACACTTCCCCACATGCACCTGCAGTCTTACACGCACAGCTTGGATGCTCACACTTGCATGTACACTTGCACACTCCCCATGATGCCTGTGCACACCCTTGCCTGCACACCCACCCATTCTCACAGGCATGCACTTTCATGCCTGCACCTTCACACAGCCCTGCCCCGTGCCCGAGGAGGAGCTGCCCATCAGGGAGACCAGAGCTGCTCTCCCCCCACTGCTCTGCGCCGCGGTGTGGTCAGGGACCGGAAGCAGCGCTGGGTCCCCGGACGACAGGGCTCATGCCCCTCCTGACCGCCACCTGGCTGGCCTGCTCTGACTCTCGCTGTGTCTTGTGCTGCGCATGCACAGGCCCCAGAGTGTGGGAGACAAGCTGAGGGCAGAGGCAGGGAAAAGGCGGGGAGCCTGGGGACCCCGAGGGGCAGCAGAAGTGAGAGGACTGAAAGAACATAAAACGAACAAGTGCGACTGAGGAGAGAGCAGAGCCCACGGCAGGCTGCAGCCGGGGTGGCGGCAGCAAGGCACTAACATGGCATTACTGGTGACGTCGGAGGTGGCATCAGCTGCAGGGAGGACTCCACACTCAGCACATGTGAGGGTACGCCCAAGGGGCGCCAGGGGCAGCTGACTGCAAGTGAAACCAAAGGCTGAAACAAAAGCAAACATGTTCTCACAGAAACCAAGGGGTGACAGCAAAGAGTAAACCAACCAAGAGACCACCTACAGGCCAAGCTTGGAAGGCGGAGCAGAGAAGGGACACAGCCTTGGGCCTCCTGCAGCAGCGTGCTGGGGCAGATGGGAGCCAGAGCCAGGTGCTCTGAACAGCTGACCTTGGCCTCAAGCTTGTGTAGAGGCCGTCAGTGCCACTCTGCTCTCTTCCCCAGGCAGGGCTACGGGCTGCATCACAGGGCTGCACTGTGATGGTGGGGACAGGGCTCAGGAGCTGATCTGGGCTGTGGCCTCCTGAAGGCCTTGTGGGCATTCCTGTCTGTGCGTGTGTGCATGGGCCTCCCCGTCTACACAAGGACAGGACAGGCATCTGCCTAGAACACCCATGGCTGTGCTCCAATCCCAGCTGCACCAGCTACTCGCCCTCCTTAAACCTCAGTTTATTTCTCTGCAGATGAGAACAGGAAAACAGTCTGCTTCAATCATTAGTCTTTGTTTCTTGTGTTTTATTTGAGACAGGGTCCTGCTAAGTCACTAAGTCCTCAGTGTGGGCTTGAACTTGTGATCCTCCTCCCTCAGCCTCCCAGAGAGCCAGCTGAATGGCACCTGAATGGCAGGCATGTGCCACCATAACAGACAGGCCTTCGGTGTATATTCCAAATGCAAACCAAACAGGCACTTGCCCCACAGTGGCTTCCAGAAATCCGCAGCTAAAAGTCAGTGTGTGGTATAGTATGACGCCCAGGCCCACAAGAAAGCACTGGGCCTCTGTGGTGCATGACCGCTGGCCCGTGTGTGAGGAGGGGTGGGCGCCCCGTGTGTGAGGTGGGGTGGGCGCCCCGTGTGTGAGGAGGGGTGGCCAAGGCCTCACAGGCGGGAGTTGAGGCCCAGGGAGTTGGGGGCCAGGTCAGTCAACCACACAGCTCTCCCCCTGGGGAAGGCTTCCTGCCGCCTTTCACTGGGGAGAGAAGGAGGAGCCAGGAAGAGAGAGACAGAGAGGAAGAGAGACACAGCAAGACTGGCACAGAGGGGAGGGCAGGGTGGAGCCCACACAGGCGCCGGCCAGCCGGCAGCACAGACAGCAGCGGGGGTGGGGGCTCCCTGAGCAGGACCCGGCTCTGCCCAATGTCCACAGGACCAGCCTGGCCCTAAGGCCCAAGGCAGCAGCACCAACCCTTGGTGCTGAGCTTTTGTCCCTGGGACTGTCACCTCAGACAAAGGCCCCAAGGGATAAGGAGTCAGTTGCCTAGAAAGGCAAGGTCCTTCCTCAGGTCAGACAGAAGACTAGGGACCAGGGTACTGGCCCCCGGCTATGGAGCCTGGCTGTACTCCCACCACCCACAGCCCAGCTGAGGAGGGGTTTCTCAGCACAGCTTTGCTATTCTCAGAGACTTTATAGAGCCCTGCCCTGTAACAGGACACATGCAGAGAAACCAAGGCACAGAGTGAGGTGGGGCCAGCTGTGGCCTGAGCAGGCCTTTGTGCTCAATGCCTCAGTCTGCCCAACTGCTCTAGAGTCCCCATCCCTGCACTGTTAGACTGGGTGATGGGGCATCGCCATCTGCAGGGACAAGTAAGGTGCCATGCAGCCTGGCCTACCCTGCCCGCTCCTTCAGCTTCTTGTCCGTGATGCCATCTTTGGACACCAGCTTGTTAAACACCAGGATCCCAATGACCATGTTCACCTGTGGGTGGAGAGGCGGTGTGGGCAGGGGGCCACACCCTAGTGCCCACATCCCACCCACTGCTATAGTAGTACCCCGCCACACAGGCCAGTGCCAGCCACAGGAGGGCTGCAGTGACCTCAGGTCCAGCTGCATTCACGAGGAACCCACTCTTCCTGTGTCCTCACCCCACTCCTTCCACAGTGCCCAGTCCCCTCTATCCCTCCCAGGACAAGCAGCTCACCACTCCCAGGACTAGAGATGCCCTCACCAGCCTATCTAGGGGAAGCCCTCTTTTCCAGCTTCCTATTGGTATATAGATCCCTTTGTGGCCTAGGCAGGTGACCCAGCACCCTGGGCATGCCTGGGGTCTCACACATCTCCCATGCTACTGCCCAAGATAAGAGGTGTTCCTGGCGCCCGGCAAGACCTCCACACCTTGGGGGAGCTCCCTGAGCTGGGGACACATCCTAGCTCACACAGCACTCTACACTCCTACTGCAAGAGTCCCCAGACCCTATGGGGCTCCCACTCAGCAGAAGAGGCTGCAGGGACACTGAGGTCCATGGTCTGGCTTCAGGGCTGCGTGCCTAAGCTGGAGACAGAGACCTGGGATCTTGTGAATCCTTGTGCCAGGGTTCCCTATGCCCAGAGGTCCACGGTGACCAGTACTGTTCCTGTGGTTCTGCAAATTGAGGACCGTACTCACAGGGCCTGCTTGCTGGGGCGCTGTGAATGGAGAGTTCCCAGCAAATGTCACCACTCACGGGCCTCTGGCAACAGGTCTCTCTTGAGCAGCCTTGCTGGCTGATGTGGCCAAGGCAAGAAGGGAGGAAGGACAGGCCCTGCCCTAGCTATCTGTCTATAGCCCAACCGCAGGGACTGGGGCTTGACTCCCATAGCAGTTAGCACCAGTGGGGATGGGACTCCTGCCGCACTAGCTCCTTGTTCCTACTTGCCAGGCACCTGACATTAAATAGCTCCTGGCCCTGCTGCTCTTGAGGCTGCCTGGGAGAGAGACTGACAAACGCTACAACCCAGTTCCTCCTTCCTCCTGCCTAGATGCCTCTGAGGAACAAATAAGTCGGGAGTCAAGAGGCCACAGTGGGACCCCTCACAGATGCATGTTCCTCCACCCACCTCCCTACACTTCCTTGCTCACCCCCTACAGGATGGCCTAGGTGCCCAGGGCCTGCATGTGGCTGGAAATGGAGATGAGGGTGAAGACAGGGCATCGCCACTCTGCCAGGCCTACAACCCCAGCGTGACACCGTCACACCAGCCCCAGGAGGCAGAGGATGGGAGCGAGGCTCAGAGCTGGGCACAGCACAGACCCCAGATCATCTGTAACCGGAGACAACAGCCCCTTCCAACATCTGCTCTTTTCCATTTGCTACCAAACAAATAGACAGGGAAACCCCAGGACCCTAAAACGGCAAGTGCTATTGGTGCCCACCGAGGCAAGAAGGCCCAGCCCACAGGACTGAGTGCTGACAGCTGTGCGGACAGACACATGGTCTGAGTCCTCAGTTATTCATCTATCTGCCCCCACTACCCTACCTTCACCTAATCTGCAGAGTCAGCCTGGCAGGTACATAGCTGGTGCCCAATCATCAGGCAAGCTGTGTTCACAGGGACACATGGAGTTGCCCCATTTCTGCCCCCGCAACACCTTGAGGACAGGTCAGAGTGAACCCAGGTCCACCCACACGTGGTGACCACACTAGCCTGCAGGCAGGGCAGGGGAGGAAACGGAAGTCGGGCCCAGCCTGGGACAAGGGAAGCAGGCTAAGGTCAGTACCAGCACAACAGCAGCCGCCGGTCCCACGAAGGCATACAGCAGTCCACCCTCCAGCGAGAGCCAGCAGCTGAGGAAGATACAGGCTGGTTAGCACCTGCCCATGGGAGTGGTGCTGCCGGCTTCTCAGACAGAACGAGACAGCCAGGGGGCAGCAGAAGTGATAGCCCTTACTAAGCACTTGCTGCACGCAAGGCATGTCACTTGGTTTTGGAGCCCTGGCCTCCACAATCACCCCTAGCTACAGACGGCAGCAGGCATGGGCCGCTGGGAATGACGGCATGGACCTGAGTGTCTCCTTCCCACTAGGTCCCCTCCCCAGCTCCTATTCCCACTCCTCAGACTCCATCCCCAGCGCCAGTGTTTGCTGTTTAAACATGTTCTTCTTTATCCTGCAGAACCCCATTTCAGCGGTCTCATCTCTTCGAGACTCTGGGAGGCCAGGTGTCCCCTCTCCTAGTCTCTGTGGAGCGGCAGACCTCACCCCGACTGGCTCTGAGTGACTGCATCCTTACCCAGTCCCCACCATGTTACCAGTGCGCCTGACCCGCTCTGGCTCCCCACTCAGCTGGGATCAGCTGCCCCCTCCTCGCTCTGTGCTCCTCCCACCTGCCACAGATCTCCACCCCCATCCTGAGCCTTCTCTCCCCCCTGGGGAGCCCACACTGCCTCTAGGAGAAGCCCAAGTGTCCTGGCTCAGCATTCAAGGCTCCAGGCCCCGGCCCCAATGTCTAGGGAGCCCTGGGATCTCTGACGCCAGCCTGCCTGCCCCAAGGGCACGTGTGAGGGTGCTACTCTGAGCTGTCCAGGCCTTCCCACCAGTGCTCTGCAGATGGGGACCTAAAGTGCAGTGGCTAACAGCCCATCCAGGCCACGCAATGGGGAGGGAGGAGGCTCTAGAGCTCCAGCCCACCCTCTCCACCCCTACCTGACCAGCTGGCTAGGAGCTCTGGTTGTAAGGCCCATCCTCCCTGAGGCTGCCACGGAAGCCAGCCACACAGGATAGAACGTGGCTGCCATCACTTTCTGGGACTGCAGCAAGCCCTGCTCACAAACTGCTGGTGACAGACCTCCTTCCTCCTCAGCTGTCACCAGACCTTTGCCCGGGGTCATTCAGAATCCCAACTCCACTCACTAGTTCATGGTGCTGTACCCCTTGGCTTTGGTGAACCCCACAGAAATGGCCACAACCAGCGCAGGAAGCCCTGAAAGAGAGGCAGAAGGGTAGGGATCAGCTCCACCACTGTCCCTGGCGTTCGCATCACCCCTGGCTCCCATCCCCCTCCTCTCCAAGCCCTGCCTCTGGCGGAAGGCAGAAATGAGCCCAAAGCCCAGCGGGAGTGAGACACAGAGCATGTGACAGGTGGACAGGAGGTGGCCACATGTGAGGACCTACAGAGCCAGAAGCAAGACTTCCAGGTAAGCAAAGAAATCCCAGGCCCCAGCAACACTGAAACTCAGATAAAGAGCCATTTCTCAGTATAAATATGTCCCAAATATCACCTGAAATAAATTTGCACTAAAAATTATTCCTTATTTAAAAGTAACGGGCCAAGCTGTTTCCCCTGGCTCCCTTGGGAAGGGACAGAGGCTCAGAGCAGAGGAGCCCCTGGGGGTCTCTTCCCCAGGATGACAAGGGAGGGGCTGCAGTGCAGGGACCAGAGCTAGGAGGATGGCTCAGAGCTCGGTGCTCAGGGCATAGCCATTGGCCTGCCTGCCCGCGATGCCACACACTCACCCCACCCCAGGCAGACGAAGCGCTTTCGGATGAGCCGGTTCCGGAGGTGGCCGGTCACCGCCATGTAGGACTGCCAGGCCTCGGTAAGCACCCAGCAGAAGGAGGACAGGAAGAAGAAGTGCAGGAAAGCTGCCACCAGCGTGCACACCACCTGCGGGCAGGCGGCCAGGGGACTGGGCAAGTGTCCCCAGCCTCCTGCTGACTCCAGTGAGTGCCCGCTGAGACCAGCAGAGGCCCAGGGCAGCATCCCCAGCTGGCACCCGGCCATGGGCACAGGCAGGAAGCAATCAGTGGGTGACTCGGCCCCTGCCCTGTAGTGGGCATTGAAGTGTAACTCTCTCCCCAAGGTGGGTGCTTGTGTGACCCTGCCCACAAACTTCACTCTCTCATTGCCAACACATGCTAGTGCTGGCCTAGGGGTTGCTAGAAGCCTTCTTTCTAGTCATCTGTAGAGCAGGTAGTGAACCTGACACCAAGAAAGAGCACATCACACCCCAAGGATCCACAGCAAGTGACAGAGGTCTGCTGGGGCTATAAGCTTCTGTGCTCGGACGCCCGAGTGTTCCGGGCCAGGCCTGCTCTGTCTCACTGAAATCTCTAGCCCCTATCCATGACGATCCCAAGTAAACTAAGGCCCTTACCCAAGGCCTGGGCCTGTTGTGTGGGGCAGGACAGGACATGAAGAGGATGGGGATGGGAAGCAGAATGGGGTGCTTGGAGAGGGCAGGCCAAGGGCCCTGCTATGTGCTGTCAAACTCAAGGCTGGCTGGGGAAGGACCCATGCTGGGAGACCACCCCAACCCCACTCAAGACACTGGGATGTGTATAGCGAGGCAGAGACACCTACCTTGTTTCGGGTCTGGGTCTGCCCAATGAGGATGAGAGCATTGGAGGAGATGATGGACAGGCAAAAGTTGATGAGGATGACGGACCGTTCTGAGCGGATGTACCTGTGGGAGAGGCCAGGCCTGAGATGAGTTCAAGGACCAGGGCCCTGCCTCCTCCCCGCAGTCACCACCACCACCAGCAGCAGCATCACACCCATCATCATCCTCATTACCAACCCATCACCATTCTCACCACTTTCTCTGTCATCACTCTCACCATCACCAGCACCATCCTGAGTCAGCATTACCACCACTGTCACAATCACCTCTACCATCACCACCATCATCACCATCACTGCTATCTTCCTCACCATCATGACCATCACCATCAGCTCACCACCACCAGCACCATCAGCACCAGCACCTCCAGCACCACCACCACCTTGCATAGAAAGATTCCCCCCAGGTGAAGAGCAGAGGGTGCTCGGGTGAGCCCTGGGGGTCCCTGATGTGTCTCTGATTTGCTGCATGACCTCAGGCATTTAAAATTCCCTGAATGTGTATGGGTCCCCACTTCCTCACGGGGTACATCAGAACAGTACCCACCTGTAGCTGGATGGGGCGCAAGGTGGCCAGTGCCATTGCCTGGGAGAGGTGCTTTGAAAACTGTCAGTGCAAAGCCTCAGCAGGCCCAAGCCAGGGTTCAGAGGCTCTGGCCCCCATGTTTTAGGATACCCAGTACTCTATGGTAGGTGCTAGTAGGTGGGGAAGGCAGCAGCCATACTCCTCTACAGATCCCAGTGGGAGAAGTACGGGATGCTCTGCCCTTGGGTAGGACAATGGAGGACACTGCTTTAATGGCCATTCGGTCACCAAGAGAGCTCAGGCTGCCCCTCCCCCATGGACCACATCGACCCCTCCTTGTCCAACCTCAGGCAGCAGCCCAGCCATCAGTTCCAATTACTGGCTGACATCACGCTGCCCCTAGAGCCAGAGGGGCCAGGCGCATGGGCTGCAGAGCTCCGACTGCACTGGGAACCCCAGCGCAGCCCTGTAGCCGTGACCTTGAGCTTATTCTCTTTGCTCCAAGCTACTTGATGGACCTGGATACAGCCAAGCAAGGAAGCAGGCCGGCCCTGTGGGCACACGTCTGTGGTCACATACCCTCCAGGTGGAGACACACGCTCACAGCATATCACCTGGTCTGTTGCGGACCCAAACCTGCCCCTGCCACTCTATTGGGCTCCTCATTAGCCCAGACACAAGTCTCAGAACACACATCTCCTCCCCTCACAGCCCCAGTAGGGCCCACAACCACACAATCCAAACATGGGACAGACAGGACCTATAGTGAGCAGGGGGTCCTGAGCCCAGCCTCTGTGGTCTTTTGTGAAGAGATCTGGGCCTGAACTGGCCCAACAGAACGCTGTCTCTGCAAGTGTAGACCCAAGGACACACAAGAACAGTGGGTGGCTATAGGCACCCCAAGTGGGTAAAGGGCAGGTAGGTGCTCAGTGTGCCCCATTTGGTGCCTGCTCAGCTAAGGTAAGGCACTAAGGACAACAGAACCTGGAGCCTGTGCAAGTGGACCCAGCTGGAGATGGTGTGGCCCACTATCCACCTGTCCTGTTTCTCTGCCCACTAGCCCCAGTGACCCCCAACACACAGAATTGGCAGAGTGGGTTGCAGGACTGGCAGGCTGGGTTAGCTGCAGAGGAGGTGCTGTCCGTGGTGCTGGTGCACAGAGGCGGCAGGTGACTGGGAAAACTGAGAAAAAGAGAGCGAACGGAGCCCCGGACCCCCTCACCGAGCACTCACCTCCACACGGACACGTAGATGATGACCAGCATGAGGAGGGTGAGTGAGGACACGCCACAGCCCACAATGAGCGTCACAGATGGCACAGTAGCCTTCTCCATTGTCTGTAATGACAGAGAGACCACTGACGTGAGATGTGACCCAGAACACTGGGTCACCAGTCAGAAGAGGCCCAGGCAGTAACCAAGGTCACCTGGTGAAGCCCCAGTACTCCAGCCCACCCTGACAGCTCCTGTGAGCAGGCAGCTGCCTCTAGCACTCTGGGGCACCAGTACCTTCTCTGCTGGGCAGTCACAGCAGAAACTTTGCTGAGGGCTCCACCTCCTGCCTGCCAAGCCCAGCACTAAGGCCCCTTGCCCCTATAATGTCACGGACCTCAATCCCAGGAAGGTGCTCCTACATCTTGGCAGGGTCAGAGAGGTTAAGTCCCAGCATGGTCCCCAGGACAGTTCTGAGCCCTTAGTCCTGCAATCTCAGAGGTGGGAGGGCATGCTCAGTGGGGAGACATCCTGGGGATGGGGAGACCTGCCTCAGTCTCAGATGTAAAACCCATCTCCAAAGCTGTAGCTCACGCCATCGGGCAACCAATTCTTACCCAACTCCTCCTCCCCACCCTGACATTCCTCCCACAGACTATCCAAGCTCTACTCCTCCCTGTATCATGGCTCTATTTATTTCCTTATCTCAGCTGTACCCTCCCTGCCCAGCTCAGAGTCACCCCCGCCTCCCTGCAAAGGCCACTAGGTGGCTGCTTGTTCCCACCACAGGGCCTTTGTACCAGCACTCTCCTCCACCTCCACTTTGTGTGGCTGGTGCCTTGGTTAGGTGGATCATAACTCAGTCCCTCCTAGGGGGCCAGGGCCACGCCCACCATCCCACCTCCCTACCATGTGCCCAGAACAACCCTGAACAGACAGGTGGCCCCTGCTTACACAGGGATGTGTCTGCCTTCATCACTGGCAGAGGTACTGTCCACACCACACACCACCCAAGAAATCAGAGGAAGCTCTGTGGTCCCCTCCCCAGCCTCCTGCCCCCGGCTCTCAGAAGAGGTGTTGAGTTAGCAGCTGGATGGGAAGGCAGGCCCAGAGAGGACAGGTCTCCTATGGGTCCCTCACCCCAGAGCTAGCACTCTGCTAGTCCTCCACACAGTAGATCTTGACCCTGTGCACCTGCCAGACTGCAGAATGAGACTACTGGCCGCGGGCCCTGATGCCTTCTCAGGGCCCCAGACATCCCCTCTCTCTCTCTCCACTCTGCCTGTCTCTTCTTTCTGAAACTGCACTCTGACCTCCTCCATGCACAGCTTGTTCCTGGGCCAGCCACTGTCCTTCCCCACACAGTAAGCACCAGCTCCTCCTGGCAGCCTCCCTGTTTCCCTGGCCCTTCTGGGTGTTGCCCTGACCAGACCTATGACTACTGTCCTTACATGGTCACAGGTTAGCATGCTGGGCTGGTGAAAGGATGTAGGAGAAACAGGATGTGGGGAAACAGTCATCAAAGGCCACCCAGGCTTGAGCACACGGTGGTACAGCAGCCCCCTAGAAACCAGGCACACACAAGCCAGCACTTGTACACAGAGCTGAGGATTCTGAGAAGGGAGCTACAGCTGGGAGTCCTGCTCTGGGGTCAGCTCACCTTAAACCTTACTGCAGAACCTGGGCACCCACCTTGGAACTTGCTGAAGAGACTCGGTGCTCGCCTACCTCCAGCCCTGGTTCCCTGGGAGCTGCTCCACCACCATGACTTGGGGAGGGGCCCCCAGATGGGCCATGCTCAGCAGTAAGTCCCCTGGACACAGCAGAGCTCCATGCATCCAGGACCAGCCCCCCACTGCAGTAGACGCACCGTGTCTGCAGAGTTCCTCTGACTCAGGCTCACAGCGACTCTCAGTTCTGGGCCATCTACCTGCTGCTCCTTGTGCTGCAGTCTCAGGCTTCAGCCACCAAACCCGCACTGAATGCTGCCCTGGGGCTCCAACCTCAGGTGGCACAGGCCACACATCTGGCACCCCACAGAAGCGCAGACACACCAGGCACAAGCACTACCTCCTGGCCAGCGCCACGCTGGGCTCTTGGCCTGTGCCTGGCACCTCTGTTACAGCTGCACCTTCTCCAGAACAAGGCTGGCTCCTTCCCCAGCAGAGGTGCTACCACCCTCCAGGGCTGCTCTCTGATGACCCCGGAAGCAGGCTAGTCGGTCTCATCCATCTCAGCTGTCTCCACCAGGGATGTGAGGCACAGAGGGACAGCACTGCATCCCCTGGGGGGGCCCTGCTCAGGCCCACTTCTGCCCTCTGGGCTCAGAGTACCATTGTTCTGTGACTTTGGGAGGTCACGTTGACAGGGCTATGTAGGGGGGAGGGTGGCCTCAACAAATGTTCCAAGGTGCTGAGCAGCTCATGGGTGACTTTCAAGTGGCTTGCACCTGTGCCACTGCTGACCCCAGCCCTGACTTCTGTGGCCATCTGCCTCGTCTGCCCTCATTAGGCCTGGCAGCCACCAGCTTACCCACCTGCCTGCCTGCCCTCTGCTCCTCCCCGCCTGGCTCATAGTCCCTCCTAACAGAAGGGGACAGGCAGAACCTGGGGGTCAGGGTGCCTCATTCGGGAGGCTGGGCCAGAGACCTCAAGGGCAAGAGACTGGCCCTGACTTCCAGAGTGGAGGTAGACCAGACTGGGCACCTGCTGGAGACTGGCTCCATGCCAAGCTTGCTCCAGCCCCAGGCCCTTTGTGCAGGCTGCTCTTGTGCCCACGCACTTCCCTGACCTTCAGTGATAGGCCTGCTGGAATCCTTGCCTCCCAGAAGACCCCTGGACCAGCCTCCTGGTTCTTCACACAAACAGAAATACTATCGCTTGACTTCCCAGGGTCTTGCCCCTCCATGGCTTTCCTTGTTTTCACTGTTACTGCCTGTTCCTACCACAGCAACTTCTGACTCCCAATTTTCTTTCAAGTCTTCTAGGCACCCTGTGTCCCTAGAGACTGACTTTTATCTCAATGTCCCCTTTATTCTGTCACTCATCCAAATCTACCTATGGTACCCAAATGCCCACACACGTAACCTAACTCCAGCTGTGGACTACATCCTACACTGTTATGCCCTGGGTCTCCCCGCATGTACACCCTGACCACTGAGACCACCAACGGGCTAAACCCTGACCCAAGTCACCAGCCGAGCCTTCATCTGTCACAGCCTGAGCCCGACGCAGGTCACACTGTGGGTTTTGATCTTGAGCTGGCTTTGGTCATGTCGACCCGACCTGATCACACTCTGGGCCCCAATCCCAGCTGCACACGGAGCTCCGACTCTGCCCACAACCGGCAAGCAGTCTGCACTCACACAGAGCTAACGCTGAGACCTGTGCTCCGCAGACTGTTTACTACATGCGGGGCTGTGTCAAGCGCCATAAATACATCACCCAGTACAGTCGCCACCATGGCTCTGGGACAGGTGGCCTCAGCCCACTCACAGGTGTGACTCAGAGCAGTTACTCAACTTTCCGGCAGCCATAGCCCGAGGTGGCACAGCGCATCTGTACCCACACCCTGGATGCAGGCCCAGTTGGGGGCTCCTGGTCTCACCTCCCCAGCAGCATTCACCCACCCTGGCTTGGGGCCTGTCCCTGGCACCCCATCTCTATATCATCCCAGGTCCTTGTTTGAGCAGCCATCCCTGGAGGCCACAGCCTCCGCCCACTCAGACCCAACTGCCCGTGCGCAGCACATAGTCCACCCCCGCCAGCTAAGGAGGGGAGCACTGTCGCTCCTCACAGATGCCCAGCTCATCCCTGGCCACCCCCTACCTGCCCGCTGGCTGTTCTTCCCTCACTGTCACCAGAATCCCTGGGGCACCGGGGCCCCAGCAGCAACCCCTTCTCAGCTTCTCTCTCTGCCTTACCCCAGCCCCGGCTTGCAGGCAGTGCTCATGCCCCTATCTCTCCTCATCCTAGACCCAGCCCAGTCTCCCACACTGCTTGAAGTCCTGCCTTTCCACTCTCCCTGAGATGGCCAGCTATAAAGCTCAGCTGGTAAACTCCGGCATACCCTGTAAGACCCATCTCCGAGCCGTCTCTTGAGGACGTGGGGGGAAGGAAGCCAGTGCACTCCGGGGTTGAATGTCCGTCCTCCAGCCTGTGCTGCCCCAGGCTTGTCTGAGCACCCAGCTACTATCTGCATTGATCCTGGGCCCCTCTGCTGACCAGCAGCACTGTCAAGATGGGATGGGGTGGGAAAAGAGCCCATTGAGGGCCTCTGGCGTTTAGCACTGGAAGCCAAAATAGGGCCAAACACAGTCTGGTCCTAGAAACCCATGCAGTCCAGCAGGGCTACCACTATCCCATCTTATAGATGAGGAAACTGAGGCTTGGTCCCCAGGTTAGTGCAGTGCATGTCTCTGTGCCAGCTCCTGCACCGCGGACTTTAGCTGCTCTGAGCTAGGAAGAGAGTGACGACATGCCCCAGCTGGTACCCTTCCTTTATGATGCTTTATGACCCCTTGCTTTGATGCTCCCACCCCCTGGGTAGCCCCTGATCTCTCCCCGCAGGGTGGGATGGCTCACTCCCTATAGGCCCTGGCTCCTGAGCACCATGCCCAGCTGCCACCATGCCCAGGGTTCTACCCTCGCCCACAATGTCCTCACGTCCAGCCCTGGGCACAGAAAGCCCCCTATTTTTACAGGAAGATACTGAGGCTCAGAGGGCTAGCCCAGGGCCACAGGTTGCAAGGGCAAGCCTGCACTTCCAGACCCTACTCCTGACCTCCCATGGTCCAATCCTGAGCTGGGAAAGGGGAAAGGGACACAGCCATCCTCCCGTCCTACATGGTCCCCACATCCCACAGAATAGAGGCCTTGGAGACTATGGTGGATCCCTGAGCTACCCAGGATAGCGCTGAGGGGCTCTAGGAGAGCCACGCAAGGGGCAGCCTGCTGCTTTCACGTCAGCAGCCATCTAGCAAAACGCCACCTCTTTCAGGGATGCGCTACCTGGCTACTACCTAGACCCAGTGCAGAGAATCAGCAACTACTGCAGTCTTGCCTGCAAGGCTGCCTGACAGGAGGGTGGGCACATTGGGGTGAGGGCCAAGGGCACTGACCTCTGTCCAGCCCAGCTGTATCCCTTAAATATGGCTCTCCTCAGAGCTCAGTTTCTCTACCTGTCAACAGAGGCGTCCAATGGCAACAACCAGGTCCCACCAGCTTGAAGCTGTGCAGTCCCCAACAGGCAGCACTGTCCACTTTACCCAGTTTAAAGAACAAAGGGATGGAGGAATGCTGAGGCCTGGCACTTCTTCCCCATGGAACCTGGTTCTACCAGGCAGGCTGTCCACCCTCAACCTCCAGAGAAGCCATATTCCCTCTCCGGCCTGCTCTCCATGCTCATGATGGGACCTCTCCACACATGGTTTGGGCCGTCCCCCTCCCAGCAGCACAAGCCCCTGCTCTTGCCCCTGTAGTGTGCTGTTCTGGGCTTGCCTGCCAGGTGGCCCCACAGGGCCTGAGCCTTCCTGGGGCTGGTGAGGCAGCTTGGGCGGCCCTGGGCTGGGACTAGCACCCAGAGCCCTGCCAGCAGGCTGGCCCCAGATACTGTCACCATAGAAACTGTCAGCCCCCACAAGAATCCCAGGAACAAAAAGGAGGCCCCTGAGACAGGGGCCTGCCTGGGGACTTGAGCCAGGCCCAGCAGCACGGACTACCCCTGCAGCCCTGCCTGAGGACACAGCCATCTCCTTCGACAAGCCTTCACTTACAGTGGATCCCAAAGGGCTTGTAGAAGGTAGCACCTTCTCCTGCTCCCACTCCTGGCAGGCCAGGGGACCAAGGGAGGGGGAGCACACAGATCTGGGCTCCCCAGCTCCAGACCAAAGGACCACACTTGGCTCCCCAGGGACAGCTTTCTCCAAGGTCCCTGCTACCACAGAGTGAATGAGAGACCCACCCTCAGGCAGTTCTCAAGGGTCCCCAACTCCACACTGCCCAGGCCTGGGCTCCCATTCATCCTTGCCAGGGGCTACCGGCAGCTGCCAGGCGCAGAGACCCCCGGGCACCGGAAGAGTAGGCACCCTCCCCTCCCCCCGCCGCTCCCGCCCACCGCTGCCACCTCCCCACCCCACCTCAGTCCCACCGCCCCCACCGGGGTCTCACCGCGTCGGCGCTGAGCTGCGCTAAGATGGCGAAGGTGGAGAGCCGGTCACACAGGCAGCGCGTCCGGAGGGCGTCGAGGGGCACCGTGCGGCAGCCACGCCACGACCACGGCCCAAGCTGCGGGGGGGCGGAGGAGGAGGAGGGTCTGGGGGCGGCGGGACACGGGAGAGACAGGCAGCGTCAGCGGCAGCGGCCCGCGGGGGCCCCGAGCGCCGCCCGCCCCTGAGCCCGCAG